CCTCCTCCTGCTTCCTCACCCGCCCCTCTGCCGTCTCCTAGGCATTTACGCTAACATATCGATTGTTTTGCAGCATAGATGTCGACTATGGTCGGGTCGATCGTGCTACAAGCAAGAAGTATGGAATACATCTCATCTATGTACCCATAATGTGAGCTGTGCTTACAAACAAGCCAATCAATCAGCAACCATAGTAGTGATTAGTGAACACCATCATCATCAATAGAGATCATTTTCTTTAATTATGATGTACCATCCCATTGTTCTGTATTGATGATGATGATACACTTTTATGACCAACGTACATTTTGATTCTTTGTAGTTTACACGTTCACCCCGGGTTGAGCAAACGAGCGTGTGTACGTTCGGTGTTCTTCATTACATACATCCATACATACGTGAACCTGACCAATGCCTGGTTTTCCAAGGCATCGATCATTATTTAGCACACTTGTTACGTGTACTCTTTATTAGTTGGGCCTCCTGCAGTTCAGCCTGACCTCCGTCTGCGTCCCGGAGGACGGCAGCAGGCCGCCCATCTTGAGCATGGCCGTGACGAAGTCGGCGGAGAACTGGCTGGGGCTGCTGCTGTACTGCTGCACCAGCGCGTCCTGCGACCCGCCGTTGAAGAGCTCCTGGTCCGAGTGCAGGAGGCCGCGCTGCCCGACCAGGTTCTGGTAGTAGGCGTTGTCGAACCCGTCGGCGGTCTGCACGTCGAAGGGCGCGAGGTTGGTGTCGCCGCCGGACCGCGGGCACGTCCCCTGCCGCAGCGCCGCGAAGCTGGCGTTGATGTTGGTCTCGTTGTAGATGCGGCTGCGGAAGAACTGGCACTGCGCCCGCCCGACGGTGTGCGCGCCGGAGAGCGCCGTCATGTCCCGCGGCGACAGGTTCTTGTTGCCGAACATGGCGATGAGCGTGGCGAGGCTGGAGCCGGGCCCCGGGAGGTTCGCGTTGGCCGCGCTCTGGCTCGCCGTGCGCGCGTCCTTGCGCCCCAGCGGCACGCTCCAGTTCGGGCCTCCCAGCTGCATGCATGCGACAGTTCGGCCGAGTCAGCCATGGCTGGCAAGTAAGTGCTGAACGTGTCGTGTTTTGTAGTACGGGTCGGCGACCGTTGAAGCTGGTCGCGCGCGGGGACTCACCAGGTTGACTCCGTCACGGGCGGCGAGCGCGAGGATGTCGGCGCAGGAGACGGTGGCCCTGCACGCAGCCTCCACCTGAGTCTTGATGGCGTCGATCACCTCGAAGCCGCGGGCCGAGTTGGCGTTCGGCCCGGCGTTCTTCTCGCCGGTGAACGTCGACGTGTCGTCAAGCAGAATCGAGCCGTCACACCCCTACCGACACATCACAAATGTCAGTACTTACTACTGCGTAAAATCAGCAGCTAGCAAAAAGCAAAGCAAATGATAGGGAGGAACGGTGTTGCTCACATTGACGAAGCAGTCGTGGAAGAAGAGGCGAAGGATGGAGGCGCCCATCCGCCTCTCCGTCTGCACGGCGGAGGTCATCCCCGCCCGCACGATGGACGCCAGGTTGGGACACGACGTGGAGTAGAAGCTGGGCGAGAGCTGCTGCGCGTTCGCCGCGCCGGCGAGGGCACAGAGCACGACGGCGAGCCCGACGAAGGCCGCCGACCCGGTGGTGAAGGCGGCCATTGCTGTCTCCGGCTTTGGTCGATGTGACTAGACAACTCTTTTGATGTGATCGAGCTCGATGAGGCGAGATGCATAGGGTGGCGCCCTATTTATAGTGCTCTAGCTGCCGGAGCTCGTGGAAGCCGGCCTGCGCCTGCATGCGCTGGCGCGTGGCGGGCGCGCGATTGCTATCACTCACTCACGTACGTACGAAATGCCACTACAGAGTTCTCGGCCGGACTCTCTGCAGCCGCAGCCGGATTTGGTTGACCAGTGATCGCTCGCTCCGGCATGGGCACCGGCTTGGCGCGACGCTAACTGCTGATCAGCACGCGCGCTCCCCTGAACGATCGCATGTGTTAGTTATCGTATAGTATATCGTATTTTCTGGAATATTATAAGAGCGCAGAGACATGTTGCTGTGCACGTCACGGGTGTAGGCTGTGCATGGGTCAGTCCGGATCCCTCCGAGTCGACGCATTAGCGGAAATTTCGTGGACTCAGGACGTGGACCGAATATTGCTGCTACCGTTACGTGCCATACTACTCCACCACGGTGCGTGCTGTTGCTAGCCATGTGCCGGTTAACCAGACTTGCCTGCCTGGATAACTCGCTCAATTTTTTCCCCTTTAAATTTTGCGAATCGAGCACCACTCGGTCTATATTTTATTGTTATCTCACACTTTGAAGCAACCGTATTACTGTATACGCTGGTCCGTGAATTAGCTCGGGCTATTTTGAAAGGTACTAATCCAGCATCAACTGATCGTAGGGACGGCACTACATGGCAACTTGCATGTGCATGTCGAGGTCAAACAATTATTCTCGAGATAGGACGATAAATTTTATTTTTCCATATAAGAATCAATCGCTTTCGTACAACAGCGGAAAGGTTGGAAGCGTGCGTCTATCTCACTGTCACCGGCTTCAATGGAGTTCGAATCTGTGAGCGAGAAGAAGATTAGAGTAAAGCATCTTGGGTGCTCCCCTCGTGTTGATCATCAATATATCGGGTTACACGCGCATGCAGAGCGCGGGTTACATGGGCGACGTGGGCCAGGTTGGTGGGGGTTGTGCCTAGAGCACGCCCTGGTCAATCCTACGAGAGAGGTCAAGACAGTTTCGGCTGACACCCCGCTGCAGTTTAACTGTCCGGAAGGCGGATGCACAAGCTGGACCGAAACTCTTGAAACACTAGAGACGGAGACCTTTGGTCATTACATCGGCGAACTGTTGCATCGTCGGGACATGGAGAACACGCAGCTGACCTAAACCAACCTTCTCGTGCACGAAGTGAATGTCGAGCTCGATGTGCTTCGTGCGTAGATGGTGGACTGGATTGGCCACCATATATACCGAGGAGATGCTGTCGCAATACACCATAGCGGACTTGGACAGGGGCGTACAGAGCTCACCGAGTAGTTGACAGAGCCAGCAATACTCAGCGACGACGTTGGCAACCGCACGGCACTCCGCCTCCGCACTGGACCTAGAGATGGTGGGTTATCGCTTAGACGACCAGGAGATGAGCGAGTCGCCGAGGAAGGCATCATAGCCAGATGTCAAGCGGCCATGTCCGGGCAGCCAGACCAGGCGGCGTCAGAGTAGGCGACGAGGTCGAGGGAGGACGAGTGACGGATGTGGAGACCATGTGTCGACGAGCCGCGGACATACCGCAGGATACGCTTCACCAACACGAGGGGCTGGTCACGCGGATCGTGCATGGACATGTATGCTTGCTGTACTGCGTATGACAGATCTGGTTTGGTCATCGTCAGGTACTGAAGCGCCCCCACAATGCTGCGGTAGTCGGAGGGATCGGCGACGGGTGGCCCGACGTCGTTGGAGAGCTTGTTGCGACTGGTGTGCTCACCGGCTTGCAGGTAGACATGTTCGCCCTATCCAAGAGCTCATCAGCGTACTTGGCCTACCAGAGAAAGAAGCCGGCCTTGTCGCGCGTGATGTGGATGCCCAAGAAGTACTGCAACGGGCCCATGTCCTTCATGGAGAACTCGAAGAGGAGCTGGCGCTGTACGTGTTGGAGCAGGCATGTCGAGGAGGCGTAAGAACGATGTCGTCGATGTACAAAAGCAAGTATGCCACCCCTGCGTCGCGATGGAGAACAAACAAGAAGGGGTCCGAGCGCGCCGCCACGAAGCCGATGGAGCGGAGGAAGGCGGCGAAGCGGTCAAACCATGCCCGCGGTGCCTGCTTCAGGCCATACAGTGATCTGTCCAGGAGGCACACATGGCTGGGGTGGTGAGCATCGACGAAACCTGCTGGCTGTTGGCAGTAGACCCGTTCGATGAGGAACCCCTGGAGGAATGTGTTGTTCACATCCATCTGGTGGACAAGCCAGTCCCAAGCAGCGGCGATGGAGAGCACAACCCGGATCATGGTGGACTTGACCACCGCGATAACGTCTTGTCGAAGTACACACCGGGGCGCCGCAAGAAGCCGCGGACCACCCAACGTGCCTTGTACCACTCCAGAGCTCCGTCCGCCTTGAACTTGTGACGGAAGAGCCACTTGCCGGTGACAATGTTGGCGTTGGCGGGCCAGGGCACGAGTGTCCATGTCTGGTTCGCCATGAGAGACATGTACTCCTGCTGCATCGCTGTTAGCCAATGGGGATCTCGCAATGCAGCATGCACATACTTGGGTACCAGGGAGATAGAGGGTGTGGATGTGGTGGCGAGGTTGGCATTGGTGTATTTAGGGTTTGGACGAAATTTTCTGAGTTGCCCATGCGTGACCAGATGTGTGTTGGGATAAGCCTATGGTCTGGATGGCGAGACGACTCGGGAGGTGGA